GTAGTAAGCAAGCCTGGCATAAATAATTGTAAGAAATCTAAACATATCGCAATATGTCATCGAGTATCTGTGATTCGTGGCTGGAAGCTAGTTTACAGGTCATCTGCCAGTCACGCACACCCCACACTGGATCACTCGTGCCTGCTGTTGTTTGTTTCTGTGGCTGTCAACACACACATGAATTCATAATTCGATGAGCGGAGCCATTTTGCCGTACAGATTTTCTGCTCAACCGCCTGCCAACTGCCAATGCGAATGTCAAACTTGCTGTTGTTAGCGCTGCCATCAACAATGTCCTTTCAAGGACGCAGGACACAGAAAAAAAACAACGGTAAAATTCAAGTGCAAAGCACTTAAAAAATACACAGATAATACACTCAGGCCGGAGTGTGTGAAATGCAGTGCCATTTGTCACAAATTAGCAACCATTTAGAGTTAAATCAGGCGCATAATTATTTTTCCAACTCTATGCAGAGACACCTATCCGTGCGCTGGGCAGGTATTAGCCAAAAAGGTGTCATGTGCGTGTGTGCGAGTGTGTGTGAGTAGCGCACAATGGGTGCATGTGTGCGTGTGTGCGTGTGTGTGGGATTTCGGGCTGTCGGATTGTCGCCGCAATTGTTGCAATTTGTTGGCTCTTGTCGCCTTTTCAGCCGGCGGCTTATTCAAATGTCGCACATAGCTGTTAAATAGACACATTACTCGCACTAATTTGTGGGCACTTTGGCTAGCATAATGGCCAGATTTAACACACACACGCACACACGCACACGCACGCACTCGAGCTGAAGTGTTCTTAAGTCTAATTTGGCCGAAACTATTCAAGTGGCCAAAGAACTCGGTTAAGTTGACCAGCTCAGCTCTCGGTTTCTTGGCCACGCTGAGATTGTTCGATTTTTAAAATCCATTTTTGGCCTGCTTTTTTGTGGCCCGAACAACCCCTGTGCGCAGGTCCTGTGCAGGTCCAGTCGATTAGACTCAATTAGCGCGCGATTATAATGGCATTTTGCATGCCTCCCCCCCGCTGCCCTCACCTCCCCCCGCCCCTCCGCCTCACACTCGCAACGGTTTAAAGTCATTGCAGAAATTTGCACATAAATTGCGTAAAGTGCAATTTGTTTTTTTCAGCCCTAACACGTTTACACAGCACGCGGACGAGAGCCTCAGCTGAGCGGGTGTGGGCACACACACACACACACACACACACGCTCACACAGACAAATGCCAATCACCCCCATTTGATGCACCCCCTTTTGTGTGTGTGTGTGCAGTTGAATGGGTTCCGCTTGTATTATTTGGTCAGCGCACATTGTCAGCCCAATTTCACACAAAAAATGCAATCAAATGTGACGCTTTTATTATTCTTGCGATTCTCGATTCTCGAATCTCTCTCGTCGCCCAAATTGGAGTGGGCCAAATTGAAATCAATCAAATTAAATCGCCTTGTTCGCGCAATTTTATGCAGTCTGCCTTTATCGCTCAATATGAAACAGAAAAAGGGGTTTTTCCCCCTCTAAAGATTGATAATCGCCCTATGGAATATACGAGTTAATAACTTGGTAATATTCATGGCATTAATAAGTCCTATAAGCATTTCACTTATCGCTAAATAATTGACGATTTTTCTTTTGCATATCGCCTATTTATCGCTTTCTTATCTTCCAACTGAAAGATGTAAGTAGCTAGCTTAGATAAACGAAGTTTATTTATAAAATATTTGATTAAGAGTGTTAATTGTGGGGAGGGATTTCATATCTGAATAAGCTTTTTTCTTTCATATCGCTTTTCTATCGCTTTCTTATCTCCCAACTGAGAAGCCACTAGCTATCTAACTTAGATATACGAAAAGATTTGACTATGACTTATACTTATATCCCCTGCAAAGACTTCATACCTGACAACGCTTTTTTTTTTTCATATCGCTTTCTTATCGCTTTCTTAACATCCAGGTAAGACAAGATAAGCGACAAGCTAACTAGCCTAAATATACGAATATAATATATAATATATATAAGATCTGGAAATTGCAATCTGCATTGTCAATGCATTTTCATATTTCATATCTAATCAAGCTCTTTCTTTCATATCGCTTTTGTATCGCTTTCATATCCTCCAACTGAAAATGCGACTAGCTAGCTTAGATATACGAAGTTGATATGTAAAAGATCAGACTACGATTTACATATTTGACAGCTCTCTTTCTTTCATATCACTTTTGTATCGCTCAATATATTTCAGTGCATATCGCTTTTGTATCGCTTTCTTATCTTCCATCTGCAAAGGCGACTAGCTCGATAGCTTAGATATATTGTCATAACATCTTAGGGCAGTTAACCTCTAGGCATTCGAAATGCTTTATCGTGCATATCGCTTTCCTATCGCTTTCTTATCTTCCATCTGAAAAAGCGACTTGCTCTTTAGCTTAGATATACGAACATAACATCTAAGTGCAATTTAACTCTAAGCATATAAAATATGCGGTTTTGAACAAGTTTTAAGTCTCAGGAGTACTTTGAATACGCTTGAGTGAATACAAGTTCTGAGTTTTTTTTTTCTCATTTTTGGTGGCATCGATAATAATTGAAGTGAAAACAATGTGTGTGCGATGGCGTGTGTGCGTGTGCGATTGTGTATGTTTGTGTGTGTGTGCGTGCGTGTGTGTGTATGAGGCGGTCGCAAAGCTTCTTGAAGAACTTGATGCCCTCCTCATTGTGCTTTGTGCCGCGCCAGTCATAAACTAATTGACCATATGGGCCGTTCTCTGTGTGGCATACTTGAAAACGGGCGAACGGGTGGAAACGTGCGGAAACGTGTGGAAACGGGGGGAAACGGAGGGAAACGGTGGACAACGAGTGTATTTGTGCTCTTTATTATGAATTTCAAATCGAATTTGTATGGAAATTAAAAAAAAAAAAACAAAACTGAAAATTGCATTATTTCCGACGTGGCCCGTTTATTGTGCGCGTGTTTATTTTTGTTTTTGTGCAAATTGATTAGTGGGCCGAAACTTTTTGGGGTTGTCGCTGGGCCGTACGATGGGCTGGCTCTGCATTTGGATTTGGCTTTGACAACGACTCCGACTCCGACTCCGATTCCGACTTTGACTTTGACTTTGCGCATTGTTGTGCAGCGCCCTGTAAAGTGATTCGCTTGAGAAAATGTGTCAGCCGCCGAGTCGAGTCGAGCCAGCGACCAGCAAATTTGCGCCCATTTTAGCCATCATTTTTATTTGTTTTTTTTTTTCTGGCCAACTGCCAGAATTCGCGCCCATTAATTGCCCATCGTCTGCAGTTGCCAGATGCACAATTTTCATTCATGAAGATCGAGCTCTAACGTTGACAAACTGTCTGTGTGTGTGTATATTCCCTGCGGCATTTGTTGCAGCCACAATTTCACTTTTTGTTCTCAAGATTGATCGTAATGCCAGCTCTTGGGCATTTTGTAATTTGTCTGCTTTGCATTCGGTGCATTATATAGCCGACAATTTGTATAATCTGTTGTCAAAATTGTCAGCTTGTTAATGCCCTGTAATTGAAATTATATGGGGTATGCTTGGACCTAGCTAGGGAGTTCAGCATTATGTCAGCTCTTCTTCTTTAATTCTTTAATAAATTCTACTTTTTGTTGTACACTATTCTTGAACTGCTTGCAGGGTATTTCTTATAGTCGTCTAGGCCTGTCAAACTCGCTATACTCTTTTCTAGCTAGTTAAATATGTCAACTCTTCATAATGCAAAAGAAATATTCGAAATTATTTTAATATATCAAAGTTGTTGTTAAGAGCTTCTAGCAATTCCTGAACTGCTTGCAGGGTATTTCCCATAGTCGTCTAGCCCTGCCCTAAGTCTTTGCTAGCTAGTTAGACAATATATCAGATCCTTAGAATGCAATAGACATATACTTTTATTATACTTATATGTATTTTATATATGTTTTATATATATTATACATGTATACCAATATCTGAAAAGGATATGCAGGGTATATCGTAGTCGTCTAGCCCTCTCTTAAGTGTCAAATCCTTAGCTTAGCTAGTTAAGCGTTATATCAGATCCGTAGAATGTTAAATATAGATTATATATTTATTATCTAAATTATTCAATTTATAATCCGTTTGCAGGGTATTTCTCATAGTCGTCTAGCCCGATTTCAAGCTCTATAAGCCTTGCAAGTTAGTTAAGCGAGATTTTAGATCCTTTATAGGCAAAAGACATATTATTTATTTATTCCTATATATGCCACAGATAAATATGCATTGTCTCAACCGCTTGCAGGGTATTTGTCACAGTCGTCTAGCCCTGACCAACTTGTTCATCTAACCGAAAATTCAAATGCTTTGATCTTAGCCATGTTCTGGGCGACGTTTGCTCCGTTCCGAGCGATCTGCGTCATGGCCTATCGAGTTACTCTTCCTCAGATTGGACTGTGCATAAACAAATGCTATTTCTCGATATGCTTTTGGCTTTGGAATGCCGCTAGTCTCGTCTAAAAATATCCAAAAAGAACATTTGGAATTTTCAAATACACATTCTGTGGGGGGGGGGGGAAAGCATTTCGAAAATATTTTTGGCCATGATTAGGCAATCGAGCAGAAAGCTCTAGAAAAGCATTGGGAAATATGAAACGCAACCGGCTGGAAAAGCTTTCCCACTCGACTTGCCTGGGAAAATGGAAATCCCAAAAACATTCTCTAGGAGAACGGAGATCAGGCAGCAACAGGCAGCTCTCTCTGTCGTACCCTGCCCCGCCCCCTCCCCCTCCCCCTTCGTATGAAAATCGATTCGATTTTTAGAAAAGAATTAAATCTAAAAAATCGTTTTTATTTATAAATAATTATAAATTCTTTTGTTTTTAATTAAAATTACATTCATGCGATCATTTTATATTTCGTAGCAATAGACCCCATTTAGGCTATTGAAGGATGTTCTATACAAAACAAGAGGCTGGCGGTTCTTAATAAAATAATCAGATGGAGATAACATTGATGAAAACACAGAAAATAAACAATTAAATGGGGTTCGTTTTCATTACAAAGTGTGTGTTCAGTCAGTACAAAAAATAATCGGGAACCAAATAAGATGATGACACATTGGTTAAATGACATTCAAAAACAGATGGCATCTCGGATCTTCGGAGATGTCTTTGATGTTCTTCTTCTTGTTGTTGGATTGCGTGTATGCAGAGCAGACCCATAGCCAGGCATAGTACAAGGCATGGGCCACTAGGCAGACGCTGGAGATGATTGGCAAGTAAATGCTTAGAAGCACTTGCGGTGGACAATGCCGGGGCCGGACTCGTCGTATTCCTCCTTGGAGATCCACATCTGCTGGAAGGTGGACAGGGAAGCCAGAATGGAGCCACCGATCCATACGGAGTATTTGCGCTCTGGGGGAGCAATGATCTTGATCTTGATGGTGGATGGGGCCAGGGAGGTGATTTCCTTCTGCATACGATCGGCAATACCGGGGTACATGGTGGTGCCACCAGACATGACAATGTTGGCATACAGATCCTTACGGATATCCACATCGCACTTCATGATCGAGTTGTAGACGGTCTCGTGGATACCGCACGATTCCATACCCAGGAATGAGGGCTGGAACAGGGACTCGGGGCAGCGGAAACGCTCGTTGCCGATGGTGATCACCTGACCGTCGGGAAGTTCATAGGACTTCTCCAGGGAGGTGGAGGCGGCAGCGGTGGCCATCTCCTGCTCGAAGTCGAGGGCAACATAGCACAGCTTCTCCTTGATGTCGCGAACGATTTCACGCTCAGCGGTGGTGGTGAAAGAGTAGCCACGCTCGGTGAGGATCTTCATCAGGTAGTCGGTCAAATCGCGACCAGCCAAATCCAGACGGAGGATGGCATGGGGCAGGGCATAACCTTCATAGATGGGCACGGTGTGGGAGACACCATCACCGGAATCCAGAACGATACCGGTGGTACGACCGGAGGCGTACAGGGAGAGCACAGCCTGGATGGCGACATACATGGCTGGCGAGTTGAAGGTCTCAAACATGATCTGGGTCATCTTCTCGCGGTTAGCCTTGGGGTTCAGGGGTGCTTCAGTCAGCAGGACTGGGTGCTCCTCGGGGGCAACACGCAGCTCATTGTAGAAGGTGTGATGCCAGATCTTCTCCATATCATCCCAGTTGGTGATGATACCGTGCTCAATTGGGTATTTCAGGGTGAGGATACCTCTCTTGGACTGAGCCTCATCACCGACATACGAGTCCTTCTGGCCCATACCGACCATCACACCCTGATGACGTGGACGACCGACAATTGAGGGGAAGACGGCACGGGGTGCGTCATCACCGGCGAAACCGGCCTTGCACATACCGGAGCCTGCATAGCAAAGACACAAACCAAACGTCCGTTAGCAACAAAAAAAAAACGACAAATCAAAGCGACCCCAAACGCATAGAGTACTTCGTGGGAAATTTCCCAAAAAAAAATATGTGAGAAAATTTCCAAGTGAACAAATTTAGGGCAAAGAGCACTAGAAATGTGCTCAAGGGAAATTTCTTGAAATCTTTGGAATTTTCTATTTCAATTCTTTTGGGGAATGTGTTGGATAATATGTGTATCTCTCAGGAAATTGTTATTGAGAAACTATCTTTGGATTTTTCAGTGGGAATATAGAAAAGGGAAGTTTTTTCCATCTCGAAAATATCACAATTCTTGTGGGGAATGTGTTGGAAAATATTTGTATATTTTAATGTTTGTTCGGGAAATTGTTATTGAGAAAATTTGCAAATTAGCTTTGCTCAAGTTTTGATAATGCACAAATATTGTGTCTGCTATCATTGGAATTTCTCGTGAATTGTTGCACTTTTGAACACTGCACTGATTGATCCTTGAAAATATAATCCACATATAAAGTGTATAATCCGTTTCTCTATCCGTTAATAGCTGTCCAGCTATCTATTTTCTTTGATTTGATTTGATTTGATTTCTTTTTTTTCTGGTATACGCACCATTGTCAACGACCAAAGCAGCAACCTCATCGTCACACATTTTGTCTGGGGTTTGTTTGTATTACGGTACCACGGGTGAATTTAAATCAAGAAATACGGCAATGTGTACGCTTTGGAACACAACTGACTGACTAACGTATCCCCGCGTTGGTACTCGGATTTTATACCAGCAGCGATTTGTCTTGGCGTTCAAGAAAACTGAACATCGTCACAGCCGCTGGGCCCCCGCCAGCTCCCCTCGCAGCCCCTGTACGGGCCATCAGCAGCATAGCATCAAAAGCAATACCAACAGAACAACAACAACAACAACAACAACACAAACATAGGCTAGAGATATTCATGCAGACACAGCTACAAATACAGCAACACATGCTCGCTCATGGATATCTGCGCCCACCTTCGGCAACGGCAGCGACGCCTAAAAATAGATCCTTAGTATAGGGGGGGCCGCCTTTGGACAAATGCTGGTGGCGCGAGCGAGAGAGCATGCCAGAACACGAGCGCGCAACAAAGCAGTTCGGCATGATCGAGCATGCAGATCGCAATCGGGCGGCGCCTTCGTGTGAACGTACGAAACGAAACGTCTGGCCGAAGCAGAGTTGCCTGCCCAGAGTCCAAAAGTGCCGTATAAGGCAAGGCTGCTGCTCCAGCGTGCTCGCTCTCGCTCTCGCTCTCACGCGCTCTCACATGCTCTGCTGCTGCTGTCGCTGCCGCTGCCTGTGCGGGTGTGCGTGAGAGCGCACATATTCGGCTGCTGATGCTCGCCTTTCTTTCTTCTTTTCGTTTGCTGCTGCTACTTGTTTTTTTCTATATTTTTTTTTTTAGGTCGTGGGGGGATTTAGAAAATTAATTTCGTTTGCCTCGTTCCCATTTACGCGCGCCCTCTCACCCCCGCTCCCAGTTGTGTTGCCTATTCTCTAATTTTTCTTGGTTTTCATAACTTTCGTGTTTTTCGTATGTCGTAATAAATTCATTTTCTATTTTCGATATTTCACATCTCAATCGCACAGCTCACATCTCGCGGCTCGCAGCTCGCAGCTCGAATCTCTCGCGCACGTTTGCACCTTCAATGAAAAATTCCACGGTTCGCACTTCTATTTTTGGTCATATTTCCCAGCGCAACGCACTCAGGCCCCTCCCTACGCCCATGTACTGAGCATAATTCAAGTAACTAAATTGTTTATTTACAATTACGAATTGTATGCAACTCGGCTGGGGGGGAGTTTGGCATCGCAGGGCCAGCCCTGTCGCTAGGCCCATTGCAGGGTATCATCCATTTAAATTAGGTTTTATGCTTTATTTTTAGCAGCAACTAAGTGGGGCATGTTTACGTTTTATGGCATACTCTTCTCTTCGAACCAAGCACACACACACACACAGGTATACATACACATGTATATGTATGTGTATATGTGTACATATATTGGCGTTTCATGTTGTTTTACTGCAGAGTAAAAGAATGGACAAGATTTATGTCGCAAATAGGACAGCGAGGCCATATGCTTTTATTGGCGCTCTATATATGTTCGATCTCTACATATAGTTAGATAGATGGACAAGTTTCGTATGTATATGTATATGTATATGGGGCTTAGAACTAGACAGCCAATTGGAATGACTAATCTATGGATATTACGAGTCGAATTAGGCGAATTCAAAATTCGCCAACATAATATTTTCGTTGTTGTTCATATATTTAGCTTTTCTCTGACTATATTTAAACTGGCTGGTAACAGTTCGCAACTCTGCTTCTTCCCCATTTCCTTTCGATTCCACAAATACAACGGGCTACCTAGCAAGCATTGAACTTGCACCGAAATCCATATACCCTTTGCAGTTCTACTTGGCTTAGACTCAAATTTAAGCCAACTTGAAGTTGGATTTGGTTTAAGGGTTGAACTAACTTACTACTTAAGTTCCTTTTTAAACTTTGATTAAGCTTACCTTTTAGTTTAGATAGAAATATCTATATTTGTATTTTGCTAGAAATCAGATTGATGTATCCATATATATACATAGCATAACTGATGGGAAGCTGAAATTTTTACTGAATTTTACTCTTGGGTCAACGAATAACTCTAGGACGGAGTTTTGGAAACTCGATCTATAAGTGGTATTAAATTTTTTATGAAAAACTTTAACAAAAACACAGCAACAAGATGTCATGAGCCTGCCTTACTTAGCTGTCTGAGCGTCGGACTAACTAAAGAGAAGTCGCTGGCTCAACTTTAGCAGCAATTGTCTAAATTTACATATATGTTTATTTAATATTATGTTATGTTATTATTCATTAAGAAAAATGCTGTAATATTTAATTAAAATAAAATAACATATAATAAAGTCATTTGAACCGCGCAATGTCGGGTAACTTTCTCTAGTAATTGATATGATCTCATTAAAAATTTATAAAATTTAACTCTATTTGGGTTCCTTACTTCATGCTCTAGTTTTAGCATCAATATAAAATTTTATCACAGTAATGCGACATTAGTATATACATTATTTACTTTCGGTCTTGTAATTCCCAACAGGTTTCTGCTTGTATCTTGGTGTCGGCTCACATGTCAACCCCCGCCGCAGCTGGCAGCCCTGCAACCACTTGCAATAGTAAATACTGAAAATGTTTCCAAATGAACAATCAAAACTCGCGCGCGGCATAATCGCAATCAAATCGCATCAGGCCAAAGGCCAAAAACAATGCCCCGGAGTCAGCAAATGCCTTGAGGCAATGCCACGGCTTGTTGTCGGGAAAATACAGAGAAATAAAACCGAATTGCAAATATATAGATTGGTATAAATGGTTAAATCAAAATTTAATAAAAACCCAGTCAATTGTGCAATGGGCGTTACTTGGATTTTGGCCAAGGAATTTTAATAATGAGCACGTATCCTGGCTGCGCTGTTGTTTTAGTGCACGTGCGCCAATTGCCAGCACTAAAGGGATTCATTTGTGAATTATCCAATGCCAATGCGAATGCGAATGCGAATACTATCCCCAATAACAGAAAATACCCGCACCCGCACCACGTTCCTAAATAAACAACCTGGCTCTGGAGGGGTCTGGCCAGGTCTGGCTGGCTGGCTGGCTGGCTTTTTGGCTGGCTTTTTGGCTGGGTATGGGAATCAACGAAAACAAATTGCAATTGAGCCCGAAACGGTGACAAAGTGGCCACCACATCACACACAACCGGGAGAGGGTGTGGACGGGATTGGGGTAAGCAGGGACACAGACGCGCTGCGCATTTGACAGGCCAAGCGGAATGCACACAGACGATGACGAGCATGAGACACAGGCTGAGCCCGAGGATGAGGATAAGGATGAGGATGAGGATGAGGATAAGGATGAGGATGAGGATGAGGATGAGCACGCCCAAACAGCCAGGGCAACAAGCCGTGCTACATGCTGCTGCTGCTCCTGGCCGCAGTTGTTGCCCCTCTGATGAGCTTCATGGCATCGTCATAATGATGTTGCGCCCAACTCTCCCCTCCCCCGCCCTTAAGCCTTAAATGATGAGCATTTGATTTTGCGGAATTTTTATTAAGTTGCCAATTTGGCAGCTACTTTCAGCTTGTTGACAGAGTTCATCAAAGTGCCCGAAAGAAAGTGATTGCGAGGGCGTGACCCCTTACTCTCTCGCCCTTTCTCTCCCTTTCTCTCTCTCTGTGAATTAATTTCAAATTAGTTTGCCACGAGCACAAGCGCATTATTGGATTTAGAGTCCCCCCTGCCCGCTCGCAGGCAATCCTTTTGCTCTATAAACACGCGTGTGGAACAAACAATGCAACTGTTGATGAAGTGCCAGCCAAGTGCTGTCCAGCAGCGGCGGGCTTAACCGCAATACCCTTTGCTCCCTAATTGGCCTAATCGCCATTGTCAACGATTTGGGTTTGCAATCCCAATTGATTTGACCGCTGTCCAGAAATGCAGCTGCCTCAACTGCAACTGCATCTGCCTTTGTCTCTATAGACAAAACTGTTTATCCAGATTGACGGACCGAATGGAAGCTGAACATTTTACCGTAGTTCCTCTATAGGAAATTTAGGGAAATTCCACCCGCAACTGTGGAAAATTGGCGGAATTCTTTTTATTGTCCGATCAGCTATAGAACCCAACTCTAATAATCTTTATGAAAATTCATTTGAGACGCGTTTCTAACTTTTCTCCATACCTTCTTGTCGGGAATGGGTAAGAGAAAAGTTACTGGTTCAAACTCATATCTAAGGGGGCATTTTATTGAAAAATCATTGAGAAAATTATAGAAAAATCATTTCAGATATATTTCACACTTCTTTTATTTATTGGTTCAAATTCATAACTAAGGATCTTATTGATTTTTTGCGAGTTCGATTTCTAGTTAATGCGGGTAGATTTAAATTGTCCGGAAAATGCTTAATAAATTGAAGCAAACAACCTCGACCGTGCAATGCCGGGTTACATCAGCCTATCTATCAGAAAATGGCGGCACTTGTCAGCTAATTAAGAGGCCCAGCCTGGAGCATGTGAAAGCAGGAAATCAGGTCAGCCCTGGAACAAAAATCGGAATTAGAATTCGATTCCAGTTGCGGTCTGCCAAAATGCATTAAATTGTGTTAATGTGCGAGCGGGGGAAATTCGGAAAAACTTGGCCGAGTTGCGGGCGTGTTTGTGGAAATGTGGAAATTGGAGTGCATGCACTGCCTCCAGAGAAGGGGGCCTTATTTATAAACATACATATATATCGAACAAGCATACAACTTGAACTGGAATAGAATATTCATATATATTCCGTATTCAAATCGGAACTAAAATAATAACCAATTCGTATACATATATCGCATTTCATTCCCCAAGAGCATTTCCAAAAACGATGTCCAATTCGTTTCGGTGGAGACAAAGTATTTAGTCATATTTGGATTCACGTGCTGCCTGCAATAATTTAAACCCAAAGCAGACAAGTGGCAATATCCGAGATCTATAAGCAAAGCCTCAGCGAATACACCCATTTAGCATGTACTCGAAATATATAACAATGTATATCGAAATATCTATATATCTATATCCAATCTATATCTGAAATGCGCTCAAAATACATTCAAATATGCGCCACAATTCGCATAGTATTCGTATATATATGTATATATGTATGTATACATATATATACATCTATCTGTACGCCTC